TAGAAGATCTACATGGCAATAAAATGGACTTAATATTCTACCAATTAAATCTATCTAAAATTTTACCCGTCACATCGCAGATTTTTTAGGACAAGTATATATACGATCAGCTATTATTCAAAAATTAAAAGGAAATGATAACATGCCTAATGAAATCTTAGGAATTATTCCTATGTTAGGTCCTCTTCATGTTTCTTTAAATAGTCGTGAAATTCTTATTATGAAATATTGGTTATTTTTTGATAAACTTTGGAAAGCAATAATGGAACAACAGAAAAGTTGGCTGCTAAACCAAAACCTTGGAGAATCAATTTGATTTTACATATTACTTATTCTGCTTAGCTTTTAATTAAAACAAAAGTTATTCAAAAATTTCAAACTTCAAAGGATTTAGAATATCGTACTTTTATTGATTTATTAGATAATCTTATTCCTTTATCACTTGAAATATATGCAAATCTTTTTCGTGAAGGATTTTTTGATTATTATATTGAATCTATATTTCGTTTATGGTGCCTTTTTCAAAGAATGAGACGCAAAAATTATAATAAAGCACCTTTGATATTTCTTTCAGATATTTTTTATTGGGAAACTATTGGACATCCTCTTTTTAAATGTATACAAGATAATCTTCCATTTTTTAATGAATATTTTGTAGAAAATTTTCATTCTAGTTTATGAAGACAAACATCACATAAAATATTAAATCATGAAGGATTTCGAAAAGATGTATTTGTTATAGATGCTTTACGTAAAGAGAATAATTTTAATAATACTTATGTTCAAAAAAAACAATATTTGTGGAAGGGCAAAAAATTACAAAATTTGATTTTTCTTACAGCAGATTTTTTATTACAATTTTTTTCTCAATTATATAATAATCAAAACAAAAGTTATATTATTGAATATGATACAGGAAGAAGACGATTAAGATATTTACAATATTTTCTTGCTACATTAAATACAAAAGTAGATGTTATGCTTCTTCCTACTGGATATAATTCTAATCAATCTCCTTCTACTGAAAAATTTTGTGATTATGATCAATGTTCAATTTTATTAGATACTGAAGATTCATGACAAGTTTTAATTTGTGGTCATGTATATCATAGTGATTGTTTAAAAATTTTAAATTTTGTATGCTTACCTTATACAAATTATTTTTGTGATGGGATTAAAAAACTTTCTCGAAATTTTATAGATAGATTATCAAAAGGAACATTAGAAGAATCAGAAGATGATGGAGAAAAAATCATTGTAGATGAAGATGAAGATAATGATATATTTGAAGTAGATGAATTAGGTGAAACCCTTTTAGCACAAGAAAAATTCTTTCATTCTTTATCTTTATTTTAATTTTTATAAATTTTTAATTAAATAAATATATTTTATAAATTTTTATTATCATATTTTATATTTTTTTATATTTTTTTATATAAATTTTAATTGATCGATAGTTATTATTGATAATCAAAAAATGATCGACAATGATCATCAGATGATTACTAAATTAGAAATGTTCCCTATGCTATAATGATATAATTGAATAAATTACAAATTAGTTACTATTGTAATATTAACAAATAATACTGAACCGCATTGTGCAGGTAGTACATTTTGAACTTATTAGAAAATAATCTAGACCTGGCATTACTCATCATCTGCTACACACAACAATTCATATAAATAATCTTATGTAAAACTATACTTCCGGCACATCTAAGAATCTGAATCAGATTGTCTGAATAGCACCTCTTTTTTCAGAATGTGTATCCAAGAAGATAAAAGTAATATCAAAATCATTAAATATTACTATCCCTAAAATAAAAATAAGTACATTAATTTAATAACAACATAATCAAACAAATAGTAAATTTGTAAACAAATATATTTAAAAGATTCTCATTACCAAAATCTTAAATATTATTATCCTTAAAATAAAAAAAATTATAAATAATAATTTAATAGTAATATAATTAAACAAATAACATACATAACAAATGATATATCTGAGAAATAGATTCTCATTATAAAAAATTTCAATATTGCTGCTTCAGAAATTTCATATGAATATGAAGGAGATATTGTTACTAATTTCATAATCTCTGAAAGAACTATTTATGCCAAGAAATTCTAATTGAAGCTTAAAAAAGTTATAATACTAAATTAATAATAATATACATAAAATAAATAACAACTGAAATGTGCAAAAAATATATCTA